CTAAGTCCTTGCAGAGTTTCTTCTTGGTAGATCTATCCATTTCTGACATAGTATTGGTAAAGTCTTCAGCTATGATAGTGGAATTGTCTATTTCCCCTTGCAATTCTCTTAAGTTTGGCCTCATAGTATTCTTATGCTCTGCTTTTAACAATAAGGATTGTTAAGTTTTTGTTAGAATGTCGATCCTTTATCATTATCACCTTTCTTTATTCCTCATAATGTTTCTGCTCTGAAGACTGTTCTGTCTGAGATATATACAGCTACTCTTGTTTTTTAAAGTTAGTGTTAGCATGGTATACCTTTATCCATTTCGTTCTTTCAGTCTATTTGTGTGATTGATGGTTTGATTGCAGTACTGGGGATCAAATCTAGGCATGATCTACTACTGAGCTATATCCTCTGCTCATTTTATTTATTTTTTAAAATATTTTTTAGTTGTAGATGGACACAATATCTTTATTTTATTTATTTTTATGTGATGTTGAGTACTGAACCCAGTGCCTCGCATATGCTATGCAGAGCCTTCTACCACTGAGCCACAACCTCAGCCCCTTCTCTTTTTATTTTGAGACAGGGTCTCCCTAAGTTGCCAAGACTTGCCTTAAACTTGCATTCTTCTGCTTCAGCCTGCCAAGTTACTGGGATTATAGTTGTGCCCCTCTGCATTGGACTGTGTCTTATATTTAAAGTGAGCTTCTTGTGGATAAAGTGGTTTTTATCTTGTTTTTGATCCAATCGAATAATCTCAGTATTTTAATTGATGTGCTAGACCATTGATATTTAAAGTGGTTATTGATATAGCTGGATTAATATCTACCATATTTATTATTGTTTTCTATTTGTTGCCCTTTTTCTATGCTTTTTTCTTCTCTCTTCCCCATCTTTTCTGTGGTATGATGGGCAAATAAAAAATTGTGTATATTTAAGACATAGAACATGTTTTGATGTGCATATGCATTCTGAAATCATTATCACAATCAGGGTAGTTAACATATACATCACCTCACCTTGTTTTGTGTGTATGTGTGTGTGTGTGTGTGTGTGTGTGGTGAGAACACTTAGATCTACTTCAGTTTCATGTTTATAAAAACTTGAGCAATTTATATGACTCCATTTCTTCTCCTTCTCCTTACTTAGCATTATCAATTATATATTTTAAAAACTTCCCTTAGTTGTTGCTGTGGATTTTTCAATATACACTTATAACTAATTCAGTTTTTCTTTCAAATAATTGTATTATGCTTTACAGACTGTACAAGTACTTCACTTAGTATAGTCCTAATCCCTCTCTCCCATCCCTTTTATCTTCACTGTCATTATTTCACTTTTATAAAGCATGTATACATAAGCATATATACTTGCACCCTCTACATATATACATGAATAAACACATTACTTTTATTATTTTGAACAGATTCTTATCTGTTAGCTCAATTAAGAATAAATAAAACAAAAGTTTATTTTACTTCTGCTTATTCCTTCTCTAGTATCTTTTTTTATGTAACATAGATTTCTTACTTATATAATTTTCTTCCATCTGAAGAACTTCTAGCATTTCTTGAAAGGCATGTATACTGTCTGCAACTTTTCTCGAATTTTTGTTTGATGAAGTCTTTTTTCCAATTTTGAAGGATAATTTGATAGGATACAGAATTCTAAGTTGGTGGGGGTTTTTCTCTCAACTCTTTAATTATTTTATGCCACACTATTTTTTGTTTCCATGGTTTCTGAGGATAAGCTGGATGTTATTCCTGTCTTTGCTCCTTTGCTAAGGTAGATTTTTCCTCTGACTTCTTTCAGGATGTTTTCTTTATTTTGGATTTTCTCAAGTTTGAATTTGATATGCCTAGGTTGACATTTGATTGCTTTGTATTCTCTGAGTTTCCAGGGTCTGTGGTTTGGTGTCTACATTAGTTGGGAGAAATACTTAGTCATGATTGCTTCAAATATTACTTTTGCTCCTTTCTGTATTTATTCTGTGTCTGATTTTCCTGTGAGGCAATTTTTACACCTTTTGTAGTTTCTCCACCATCTCTGGGTAGTCTGTGTCTTTTCCCCAGTCTTTTTCCCTTTACTTCTTAGTTTTGGATATCTTCAAACACAGAAATTCTTTCCTCACCTGTGTCCAATCTCAAAGATGTTACAAGTGTCTCAGAGATATTCTTCATTTCTGTTACAGTATTTTTGATCTCTAGCATTTCTTTTTGATTCTTTGCTAGAATTTCCCATTTTCTGCTTATATCAGAAATCTGTTTGTGCATTTTTGTCTACTTTTTCCTTTAAAGCCCCTAGCATACTAATCATAGTTCTTTTAAATTCCTGGTTTGGTAATTACAACATTTCTGCCATATCTGAATCTTGTTGATACTTGTTCATTCTCTTGAAACCTTTTTTCCCCTTTTCATTTACTTTGTACTTCTTTGTTGAAAGGTAGACATACTAGATGAAAGGAATTGCAGTAAGGAAACCTTTAGTGTCCTGGTGGTAAGGTATTGAGGGGAAGAGAAGCATTCTATAATCTTGTGGTTAGGTCTCATTCTTTTAGTGAGCCTGTGCTCATGAACTGTGGCCATGTGCTGATCAGTTCCCTTCCCAGCAAGTGGACAGTATTACTAGAGTGAGCTGGATGGAGTTCAGGGTTCCCCTACTGTTGGTTTTCAGATGGAGTGGGGATTCACCTTTCCCTCAAGTAATTTAGGCACTGATAAAACCCCAACAGATCAGGCTACAGAAAGACAGTTTCTTCTGAGGGTAGGCCTTGTTGAAAAGAATGTAAATACTCTGGCATCTTCCAAGAGTTCCTTTTCCCCTCCCCTTACTAGAAACTGAGGAGATTTTTCTGATATTCATTGTGAGGACCTGGTAGAGCTTCTGAAGGTAAGATTCACCAAGGCATATGATTCCTCCCGGAGACTGAACTCCCTGGAGTTTTGACTCAGTCTTGTCATCCCTGAACCTCCAGAAACTTATCAATTACAGTTTAAGTTCTCCTACTCCATCTCTGGTAAAAGTCTATCCATAGATTTTTATGCTGGTGGATTTCTACTCCAGTTATAATGGTTATGATTCTCTGTATTCACCTGTCTTTCCCCAATTTGAGGGACAGCAGTTTGCCCTGTAATGCAGCTAAGATTTGTTGGTTTTCAGTTTTTTTCAGCTTTTATTTGGAATGGTGACTTTTAAGTTTCTTTTATGCCAGATCAGAAACCAGAAATACAACATTGATTTTGCAATCTGACAAACATGATCATTTCTGAAACGTAACTGAATCAATATTATTTTCATGCTGCTTCACATTTTCATATGATACTTGGTAAGACAAAGCCAAAATGAGCTAAAAGTTGACTGGTCAAATAAATACAAAGCATAAAACAATGTATTTTAAAACCTTTTTAAAAATTTATTTTAAATATCTGTATAGGAGGACTGTCCCAAGGAAACAAAACCAACCTTTTTAATTAAATGATTTCATTCTGAGTTTTTTGTTTATTTCACCCTAAATACTTAGCATTTATTCCTCCTGTATAGCTACAACTTCATCCTGTTTTCAAATATCTCTCCATTCTTTCTAAAACCCGTCTCCCACCAGTCTCTGGTAATCACCGTTCTATTCTCTGTTTCTCTGAGTTTCATTGTTGAGATTCCACATATAAGTGAGAACATGAGGTGTGATTTTTTTTCTTTTGGCCTGGTTTATTTCTCTCAGCATAATGTTCTTCAAGTTCATACTTACTGTTGCAAATGACAGAATTTTCTTCTCTTGTGGGGCTGAATTAATCTTTAATTGTGTGTGTGAGTGTGTGTGTGTGTGTGTGTGTGTGTATATATATATATATATATATATATATCACATTTTTAAAATCTATTCATCCATGGATGGACACTTAAATTGTTTTGTGACTATTGTGCATAGTACTACAACGGAGTATGGGAGTGCAAGTATTTCTTTGACATTTTGATATGTATGTAAAATACATAGGATATATACCCGATAGGCTATGGGAATGTCAAACCATATAGTAAATCTATTTTAATTTTTTGATGAACCTCCATAGTTTTATATAATGGCTATACTAATTATATTTCCACTAACAGTATACAGGTGTCCCCCTTTCTCCACATCTTTACCAGAACTTGTTGTCTTCTGTCTTTTTAATAATAGACATTCTAATTGAATTGATGTATCTTTTTATACTTTTTACTTATATTTCCCTGATGATTAGTAATATTGACCATTTCTTTATAAACCTGTTGGACAGTTGTATGTCTTCTTTTGAGAAATGTTTGTTTAGTCTGTTGCCCATTTTAAAATCAGATTATTATTCTTTGCTATTAAGTTGCTTGATAATCCTATATAGTCTGGAATTAATACCTTACCAGAAGTATAGTTTTATAGTTTTGATTTTGAGTATATTTCCAGTCTCAGTAATAGAAAATGTTTGTAATAACTAGTCAATCAACTGATTTTATTTTTCTTTAATTTGAGGAAGTATTCGCTGACCCAGAGTTATTTTATGTTTTTTTCCCATAGGTTTAAAGTCATGCACTATTTCACTACCTAACATTTATTCTCAAACAGAGTCTTTGGACTTTGACCAGTAGTAGGAAGAGGGTTAATGGAAAATTCTATCTTATTTTCCATTATTGACCTTTCAGTATAATATAATTCACTAGAGTGTTTTGGAGTTTAACTATTTACTATTGAGTTAATAAAAACTTCTTATTAGAAAGTATAAAGTCTCGAGAGCTCATGTATAATGGCATAATTTTGAGTGGACATACTTTATATACTTTATAGAGTTATGAAAAATGGTGTTGTGAATGGATAATTATGATTGTAATGCATTCCACTATTGTCATGTAGGTAAGAAATTTAAAAAAAGGAAAAAAAAAAGAAAGTATAAAGTCTCAGGAATAAACTACCATTATAAAATAAGGCCTGATACCAAAGCATTTCCAGATAAAGATCGATTATAGGAGTGTTTCTTCCCTACCCATAGGGCAAAAGCTGGATTGTTAAAAGAAGTTATGAAGATTTTCGGGTACTTGATAAACATCTTCATCTCTGTATTTATGACCGAAGATTCTCCCAGCTCTCAGAGCTTCCCCGTTCTGACAGTCTTAAGGACAGTCCAGAGGTAAGCAGAAGTGATCACTACATATTATATATGAATTAGTAGAAACTTTTGTCTGTATACTAAATAAAAGTTTATGTTGAGCACTTAGAGTCATTCCTGGGATTACATATCATTTCTATTTCATAACAGAAACATTAGTAGGATGTTTATAGTTAAAGTTGGTTCAGTGTATAATTTTATAAGGGAGAAAGTCCTCATAATGATAATATGTAAACAGGCATTATATGTTAGCAACCATTCTTCAAATAGCACATGAGAACATGAAAAATTAAAAATGTTTACTTCCTAGTAAACAGAAAATCTGCATTCAAACAGAGCTGTTTGATTAGTTTATAATGGCAGGTTGTGTGTGCACATGTTTCCATTCCTGCTAAATATTTCTAGCAAAAAAAAAAAAAGTTGTTTTTTTCTTAATTTAAAAGAAAAGAAATTCTTTATAGCATTAGTCAACAAAAAATTCTTTTGGGAGTCAAAAATTGGGAGGAGTCTTTGAAAGTAGGTGGAATAAGATTTATGGGAACAGAAAATATAGCCTAAAACCCATATAGGATGATTCTAGAAGGTAGGTAAATTAGAAGTTTTACATGCAAGTACTGAGTGAACAGAATATAACTGAGAAGAAGGCCTTTGAATGTATGATTACTGTCCTCTGAGGGGAAGTGAGTTATAATATCCATGAATAAGGACAGATTTTTGTAAAATTAGGTAATCAGAAACTTTGGAAAAGAACATATGATCTTTTAATTTTAATAATAACCAATCTGAATAACTGAAGTACATATAAAATGAAAATATCTAAAGAGAGAGTTAGTGAGCTTGAGGTCAAGTCAAGTCATTTATAAGAATATGGTCCTGACAAGGGAATTTTAAGGTGGTAACAATGTGTATAAAGCATTGGATTTGTTTGAATAGAAAGCTGTTTAGGGGGTAGAACATAAAGAGGTACTGTTGATTTGGAGTATGGAGTTAGGGATGTTCAAGCACAACTTTCCAAATGCAAAATTCTAAATAAAAGGAAATATTTTATCTAACTGATTGTTAACATGAAAAACAATAGTGCTTGAGAAATAAGTTATTTACAAACAATGGGCACTTTATGAAGTATTATTATTAAAAGAATATTAGGTTAAGATGGCTGGATTAGTTTTAAAAAACAATATCAAAAAGGGCTATAAGCTTTACCTCTTGCGTTATCTATTCTATTAGCTGTAAATTATTTGTATCTGTACTAAACAAAAATATAACTAACATTTAACTTTTAAAAAAAGAATATTGTCCTGAAAGGGACAAAAAATTAAAAAGTTTTGAGAGTATAGTTGAAAATTGTGGAGATGGATCCAGAGCAGTTCCTACTAATAGGGATTATAGGAGAACAAATCAGATAGGAAGAAATAAAAAATAATATAAAAACTTCCCCATAAATAAAGAAAACAATATTTTCAGATTCAGAGGGCCCATGAGTGCTACCATATAATGAGCAAAAGGACTCACACACCAAGAAGCACTGTAGTGAAATTTTAGGATGTCAAAACATAGAGAAAAATCCTATAACTATCCATAGAACAAGAAGCAGATTTTTTTTTCCTCAAAAGAACAAGCATTAGACTTTTGAGCTGCAGTTACAAATCCTAAGAGGAAGTAATTTTAAATTTAAAATTAATTCCAAGGCAGTTTAAGTAGATAGGGCAAAGAAGAGCCATCATCAGTCATGGAGGGACTGATCCTGCATTAGAGGCTTAGGGATGTCTTAAAATCACAAAGATTGCTTCTTACTATAGAAAACCTAGAAGTCTCCATATTCATTTCCCATCTCTGCTTATTTCTTCATTTTTCTCAGACTCTAAAATTTCATGGACAATGTGCTATTCCATGGGGTAGGATCATTCATAAACATGGCTGCTCCTACCTGGCACAGGCATGGAAGATTATAGAGAGTCTTGGAGAATAGGGTTTCTGGAAATCGGGGGAAATCTAGGCAGAATAATCAAATATGGATCTGTAATAAACATTTTTTTTTTACATTTTCAATACAAAAATAGAGCAGTAAATAACTTCTAATGTTGTAGAATGACATAACCATTGATGATAAGGGGTAAAAAGTTGAAGCCCTGGGTCTGAATCATTATGTCAGTGCCCGCAGTTTCAGTGGCAGTCCTCTGTGAAATCCTCTGTAACCATTAAAATGCTTCAAGATCTGTAAACACACCTCTACCCCACCAATAAACAGTTCACTTCAGAGTTTCTCTGCCAGAGAGTACAGTATCTTTCCTGTGAGTTATACTGAACTTTTTCTTTGCAGTCAGTCACTCAGATGCTCATGGCTTACCTGTCACGCCTTTCAGCTATTGCTGGTAACAAGATCAATTGTGGGCCTGCCCTTACTTGGATGGAGGTATTACCTAATTCACTTCTTATGAAAATTTAATTTAAAGTTATTTACTTAAGAAATTTAATATTAATTTGATAGTTAAGTATCAATAATCAAAAGAAGTGGAGTTCTCATCTGGGAGGATGGATATGTGATGCATAAAATGTTTTTCATCTCAAGTCTCCTTTGATAATTTGTGAAATGAGTTTTAATGTATTTTATGAATCTTGATACTTTTTTGGTATTCAGAGTATTAGTGTTCACATTGAGCAAACTATATTTTTTTTAGTTAATAATTGAATTTTGTGGTAAAGGGAATTGAAACTGGGGGTGCTTTTACCATTGAGCTGCATTCCTAACCCATTTTATTTTTTATTTTGAGACAAAATCTTGTTAAGTTACTGAGGCTGGCTTTGAGCTTGCTATTCTGCCTTAGCTTCTCAAGTTGCTGTGGTTACAAATGAGCACCACCTTGCCCAGCTAATAATTAAAAATGTTTTTCACTTATTTACAAACAAGTAATAGCTATTTTAAAGGATCTGATTTAAGAGTATATTGAGTGAAACATTATCCTGTAGGGGCTGGGGTTGTGGCTCAGCAGTAGAGCACTTGACTAGCACATGTGAGGCCCTGGGTTCGAACCTCATCACCACATAAAAATAAATAAAATAAAGGTATTGTATCCAACTACAACTAAAAAATAAATATTTATAAAAAGACCAGAGATAGGAAGAATTATGCTGTATATGTGTAGTAAGAATTGTAATACATTCCGCTGTCATTTATTTTTTGAAAAAATAAAAAAAGAAACATTATCCTGTAAATATGTTAGATATTTGTGCTTAATTTGCATAGTTATGTATTTTCTACTCCCAACAGAAATTGGGAAGACAAGAAGGAAAGTAGAAAGCATACTGAACTGTTGAAAGCAATTGTACTCTTGACCTTGACTTTTCCATTATATACTATGTGTTTTTGTAATTTATTTTTTCCTATCTTGTGAAAGATTGAATTACTTTTTCTTTGTTTAACCTCTTCCAACTTTAGCATTGAAATAGTGTTGAAATGATGTATGTTAAGTGCCATAGCACAATGACTGTCATACATTAACTATCTAATAAGTGGTATTTGTGTTTTTTAAAAGACTTTGAATTATTATCTGTCTAAATTAAATTGAATTATATTTTATAAGTAGTCAAAGAAACTTGTGCAGGTTCCATGTCTTTAACCGTCTCATAGTATGTGTGCTTCATTACAGATTGATAATAAGGGAAATCATCTTCTAGTTCATGAGGAATCATCCATCAACACTCCTGCTGTTGGTGCTGCCCATGTTATCAAGAGGTACACTGCTCGGGCTCCAGATGAATTGACATTAGAGGTAAATAATTATGCATTTTGTTCTTTAGTCCCCATTACCTTTCTAGCCTCATGCTTAAGTGTTTTAATCATTTACTTAATTTTAATAAATTAAAAGCACCAGGTATTTCTGAAGTCCTTTATCTTTTGGCCTGGAAACTTTTCTATTTTTGTTTAAATGGTCATGTCCATCCTTTAACACTCAGCTTCAACATCTCTCATTTCTTCTAGAAAGCCATCCTTGGTATCCCTCACCTTACTGCATGCAGATAACACCCCCAAAAGCTGGAATGAATGTCATTCAGAAAAGCTTTCATGGCTTAACTATCTATGACATATCAGTTATTACATTTAATCATAGTTTTCCTCCTGTTTGTTTCAGTGGACCTCTTGATAGCAATATCTTTCTTTGTGCTTTTAGTGCATAAAAACTGTGATACCCAGTAATACCTTTTAAAAATGTTTGTTTAAAGATTGAGTTAAAGGACCAGATGGAGGGTGAATGAATATTTCTTGATCAGATGCAAAAGGAGAGGGGAATTACATTTCTTCCTCTAAGACTATGTCTCAGGTGATAAAAGACAAATGCTAACAGTTATTCAGTTTAAGATAGAAGAGTATCAGTTTTTACTGTGTAGCTTCTGAATGGTTTTCAAACTACACTCTTAGGTTCTGTACAGAAAGAAATGCAGGTCTTCAAAGATATCATATCTCTTAGCAAATATGACTATGAAGATGGCTTAGTCATGACTTGAGAAGTCAGAGTAAATATGTAGGTTCCTAAAAATGTGTATATTAGTTATAGTGCTCTTAAGTATTAAACTTTGTTTTTCATAGATAATAGCACTTGTTTTGATGGAGGAATATAACTTCTATGAAATATATTACTTAATTATTATAATTAAAATATTCATGTAAACTCACTAGCTTGCTTTTTACAATGAAGAAAGTTAGGTCTATAGTGGAGTGTTGGACTATAGTGGGTTGTTGAAAGGAGTGGAATTGTCATCACATTTTGTACTTACTAAGAACAATCCATCTTGGGCCTTTCCTATATGATTAAATAAGATATATCAGTATAATGGCTTGCACATGGTAACATAATGGTAACATTAATGGTATTATTGTTTTAAATATGAGTATTTGAAACTTCTGTAAGTGAGTCTCATTGCTTCCAGTGACAGTGGTTACAAAGTACACAAGTTCTACAACTTAGCATGGGGTTATACCCCACTGAACCCATTTTAAGTTGAAAATACTGTTAAGTTAAAAATATATCAAACATGCCTAACCTACTGAACATCCTGGCTTAGCAACAAGGGCATTGTAGTTTCTCAGTTGTCTGCCCTTGTGACATGACTGATTGGAGCTGTGGCTCCATGTTACACAGTATCACAGAAGAGTATTATACATATTACTAGCCTGGGAAACAATCAAAATTCAAAATTTGAAGCACAGTTTCTACCAAGTGCATATCACTTTTGCACCATGGTATAGTCCAACCCAATATACATAGGAGTCAGTATTTTAAAGCATAACTGATGATAATGATATGATACCTAGCATTAAAAAAAATCTTCATCTAAAATCTAGCTTTCTGACATTACTGCATATGAGTTACTAAGATCACAGTTTTTGTGTTGCTTAACATTTTTTTAGAACTTTCCTTAGCAAAAAGTAAGATTATTAAATTACTTTAAAAGAGGTAATATATTTTTCCAGAAATTATTAGCCAGAGCATAAAATAGTACTCTGTCCTTTTGTGCAGTTCAAATTTAAACTCTAGGTATAGCAATTGATTTAAAATTGAACTAAAACAATTTTACTAAAATTTTGATTCTTTTAGGTGGGAGACATTGTTTCCGTTATTGATATGCCCCCCAAAGTGTTAAGTACATGGTGGAGAGGCAAGCATGGATTTCAGGTAAGCAACAAAAATTAGGTGTGGAAAAATTCTAAGAACACTTATCTGTATGTCATTAAGAATCCTATTTCTAAGGTATACTGCAAGTGGACTTTGTCATCAGAAATATTGTCTTTAAATGGCATTAAACCTGGATTTCCTTGTCAAGTTGCTTTTGTGGTTTTGTTTTGTTTTCTCCCCCTTCTTTATCATTCTACCAGTGTGAGCAGGGTCTCAGGCCTGAGAGCTGCTTTTGGTATTAATTTGTTTTTTTCTGGGAAGTGGGGGAGGCGGTGTCCTAGGGAGTGAACTCAAGGGCACTCAACCACTGAGCCACATCCCAAGCCCTGTTTTGTATTTTTACTTAGAGACAGGGTCTCACTGATTTGCTTAGTACCTTGCTTTTGCTGAGGCTGGTTTTGAACTCCCAATCCTCCTGCCTCAGCCTCCCGGGAAGCTGCTGGGATTATAGGCTTGGACCACAGCACCCAGCTTAGTGTTAGTTTTAAATCATCATTCATGTATATTTTCTTTTTAAAATATACTTATTAAAAATAAGTCAGTTTGATAAAATTTTTGTATAAAAATCATTATAACTCTTGTTAGAAACTTACTGTATTACAGAACAACAGTAGAATCTAAAGTCTTCTCATTTATATTTTCCATATACATGTAAATTGTTTAATTTAAGACTTTACAATGGCATCTTTTAAATTAACTTGGGACTAATTTTCATAGAATGGAATGGGGTTTCTTTTCTCTTTTAAAATTGTCCATAAAGGAGACTCTGAAAATGCTTTAAAATTATGTTCTTAATCCATGGTGTGTATGTGTGTGTGTGTGGTTTCCCCATAAAAGTATTGTGAAATGCTGCACAAGTAAACCACTTTCACTACAAAGTCAGAAATTTGATTACTAGTATATAAATATTTTGAGCTTGACATATTTAAAAATCCTGATTATTAACTGTTTATAAAATGTATTTTATAAATGAACGTTAATACCATTTAAAACAGTATACTATAGGAGTTAGTTGTGGGGTCCGGAGTCAAATTGCCTGAACTATAATCATGTATTATCTTGGGCAAATTATTTAATGATCTGTGTCTCTGTTTCTCCATTTGTAAAGTGGGGTTGCAGACAATATTTTTTCCATGTAGACTTTGTCATGAAGGTTAAAAGTATGAAGAGGAAAGTGTAAAGTACTTAGACCAGGCCAGGTGTGTGTGTGTGTGTGTGTGTGTGTGTGTTTTGCTCAATAAATGTTGATATAAAATTTAAATAATTCTGTTTTTTATTTTAAAAATTTAATTTTATCTATACATTTCTAATAAAAAAGCATATATAGCAATTCACCAGTTTATTTGGAGTCTTTGGAATTGAATTTCTTCTTAAAACCAAAAGGTTCCACTTAAAATCTCTGTACTCCTTCTCAACATTTTAATTTTGATTGTAAAAATAGTAGCAAGTTTGTCTTTATTTGTGTAACCGTTATTTATTGATCAATGACTGTATGCTAGGTGTAGACTTATCTTCCTAATTATTTTATTTAGACCCACACAAGTAAGTCCATTACCTAAACAAATTAATTCTCTTAAAGTCATAAATTAAGTATTCTAAAACTGTTATAACTTAGTTTATTGCCAAAACACATTATTTAAAATAAAAACAAGTGTTTTAAATTCAAGGAGATTTCTCTGTCATTGATAATAAAACTTGCTCCTGTAGGAATGTTATTTTTCGTATTAGTCTCAGAAAGGCAATGGTGTCTATGTAGATCAAGGTGGAGTGTTCCTGTGAGAACAGCAGTTGATGTAGGGGTCCCCATAAAACCAGCAGCAAGACTTTAAATGTCAAAACTTTTTTTTTTTAAACAAAGGAGTCCAATATTTTAAGGAAAGAATCCACCTGGTTCCCTATTCCTTGCAGTCCTACACACTAGTCCATTTGTAAGACTGCAAGGGAAGGTGGGAGTTGGGAGACTTGTTGAGCATCTGCTATGCACAACCATTTGGCATTTTACATGCAGTGTGTTCTTCAATTTCAAGAAACTTCCAGATAGTTTTTAATCTCCTATTTTTATGGAGAGAAGGCAGTTTTTGAGAAGTTTAATAAACTGTCAGGATGTTAAATGAGTCTCTGTCCCATTGCCTGAAGAGCACTGAGCATGATTTCTACATTCACTCTTAAATTTATTAACTCTATTCACTTTAGTTTTCTGTGCTGTAGAAAAGAACATCTTTCCTTCCCAACCAGCGAGGATTGTGGTAAAGATTAACCAGCTGAGGGCTACAAAGCATACCTGTTTACTGGTAGAGACTGAGTGTTAGTTAAGGTTTTATGTAATGATTAATAAATTGTATCCTGGGGAAAAGCTCCTCCTCAGGCAACTCATGAAGTTCCCTACTCTTGATAGGTATTTAAAAATTCTGAAGATGTGTTCCTCCTGAGATATCCTTTAAGAGTGGAAGATAATCTTAATTATCCATGTATATGATAACTGTAATCTATAGCCCTTTTATGTCCTGATTTTCAATTTTAAAAATCATGAAATAATAACTTTTTCTGATGACTCTCATACTTTTAATTTTTTAACTAGTAAGATGGTTAATCAAAGAGAATCTCATATAACCTCAGCAGGAGAAGAGGTGTCAGTATAGCTGCCCTGATTAGTTTAAGTCAGCCCACTGGACCCCATAGTGCCTGCCTAGGTGGATTCCCTGAGGCCTTCTGTAGTAGTTCAGAGGACCTCAGCAGAGCTAAAAACCACAATTTATGTATAGTGGACCTTACCTTTATATAGTAGATATATTACACCAAAAGCTACTTTAAACTTTAATTTTTAAAAGCTAGTTCACAGTGTAAAAGTATTAGAAAAACATGTTCTTTAAAGGGGCATTTTTTATGTGAGCCCTTTCAAAAGGTCAATATTAAATTTCTCTAATGTAAATTATATCTTAATTCTTGGTATTTCATAAATTCTGAGGTAGGTGGGTCATATAAATTCAGAATGCAAACAGTAATGCTTATTTTATAAATATGTGTGTGAGATTTTATTTTTCCTGTTATTGGGCATGGCTGTTTTTAACATTCTTTCATTTGTCTGTTAGATACTGTTATAGTTTGCTAGGGCTGCTATAATAAAATACCACAGACTGGGTGGCTTAAATAACATAAATTTATTTTTGCACAGTTCTGAAAGTTAGAAGTTCAAAATCAAGATGTTGGCAGAGTTGATTTCTTCTGAGGCCTTTCTCCTTGGTTTGCAGAAGGCTGTCTTATTACTGTGTCCTCACATGGCATTTGCTCTGTTCATGTGGGTGTCTTTGAGTTCTTATCTCCTCTTCTTGTAAGGATAGTAATCCAATTAGATGAGGACCCACCCACTATGACCTCATTTAGTCCTCACTAAAAGCCTTATCTGTAAATACAGCTATAATTCTGAACTATGGAAGTTAAGAATTCAACGAAAGAATTTGGGATGAATACAATTTAGCTTATGATAGGTGCCATTCAACCTGGATAGAAAGGTGGGTTGAACCACTTTTAGGGCTGGGCTGAAGTTCCTTGGGCTTCATGGCCCAGCTGGACTCTCCTTGGAGGTTGTGGAAGGGTTCCTAGAAGAGTGTAGTCTTAAGTATGTGTCTTCTGGGGAGAGGCTCTTCAGGTGACCCAGTGAAACCTCTCTCAGGGGGCTCAGGCTGACTGGCATGGAAGAGCATACCTCAGTCATCCATTTGACTGACTTTGGTTATATGCCAATTCTGCAAACTGGGCTCTGACTGCAGACCACAGAGAAGGATGCACAGTGGTGCAGCCTATCTTTCCTCATGGTGCAGAGGCGATGAGGGGCTTACTTGACATGGGGGTGGCCAGGACAATGGTCTTCCTGGGGATCCAAATTTTTGGGTGCCAATTGGGAGAAATAATTAGGGAGCAATAGCATTGGCTGCTACTTCCCATGGTAGAGGCAGAGTCCACTGACCTGTTGTGTTCTGAGCACTGATGAGAAACTTTCTGAAATATCTGTATTTGCAGCTCTGCTCAGCCTCATAGGTTACAACCTGTTACTTGTACACTACTTTTTCTTTCAGCAAGGTCCCACACGTGTGTTGTCTCCTTTCTCACTTGCCATTCAGACCTGGCATGGTTCAGGTCTCCTTGCGGAAGCCTTTCCTTTATATTGCTATGAACTAGTGCTGTGCAATTGCTGTGTTGTGATTTTCTTTAGTATTTGAAAGTATTTATTAGAATTGTTTAAAATAATAAATAGACCCAATTTTTAGTATAGTTTAGTATATATTACAAAATAATTGAGCAGATAGTTCATGGAGTTTCATAGAGTTACTCCTCCTACAATTTTTCTATATTTACATCTTACTTAACAATGCAATGAATAGAATTGGCAAATGCTGACCTTTTTCTCATGTCAGTTGTTGGCTGTGTTTACCTGAAGTACGTGGTAAGCAGTGTTTCTAGAAAAGTGGTCTGAGGAACACCCAGACCGGAATCATAAATAATAAAAATGCAACCATTAGTCCTACCCACAGTTACTAGAACAGTTTTGGCTTCGCTTTTTGTTATAATTAATGAACCAGTATCAATATACTGTTATTAACTATAGACCATCATTTACGTTAGTCTTCATTCTTGATGTTGCATATTCTGTGCATTTTGACAATTGCCCAATGACATATATCCATCATTTTATTTTCATACAGAATTGTTTATTCATCCTTCAGTTATTCTTCCATGTTTCACCTGTTCATCTCATCTTCTCTCTGAAATCTGGTAAACACTGATCTTTTACTATTTCCATAGTTTCGCCTTTCTTAGAATGTCATATGGTTGTCATATGGTCTTTTCAGATTAGCTTCTTTCACTTAGTAATTTGTGTTTAAGATTTCTTTCATGTCTTTCCATGGTTCTGTAGCTCCCTTTTTTTAATCACTAATATTCGGTGTTAAGGATGCACCATGATTTATTATCTAATCACTTATGGAAGGAATCTTGATTGTTTC